GGCTTGCGGCCAGGCGCCGCGTAGCTCCCCCGGGCAGCTGCCGTCACGTCACTGCCTGTGGGGAGAGCGATAAAGGCAGCAGTGAGGCCCACACCCCAACCACCCACCCATCCCCAAAGCCAGCCCTGAGAGCAGCCACTTGGGTGATGCCCAGCTTGGGCATTAGCAGGAGGAGGAGGATGGGTACGGCCGCTGCAGCGTCACCCCCAGAGTGTTAGGGACTGCCAGCCATCCGGCACCTGCAGGGCGGCAGGAGGGCTCTGCACCATCAAACCTGCACATGGTGGTCAGGAAAGCTGTGTCAAAGGACACAGCAAACCATGGGGACACCAGGAGACACGAGAGCCCCATGGGAAAACAAGGCCAGAGGCATCCGTCAGCCGGTCCTCAGCACCCGTCAAACCCCTAATGCCATTACAGCTCCACGGTCCCCGGGACAGGGGGATCATATTTTCTTCTTGCTGATCATCTTCCATTTATTAGTGAGACAATGGTGACAGCTGCCTTTGCCTCTCACTTCCATCCACCCAGCAGCAGCCATCCCAGTGGATAAATCCCAGCCGCATGCACCAGGGTGCCGAGACCGCTTTGCGGTGATAAATTGCAACCCATGGATGTGATAGAAAAGATCTCAGCCCTCACCTGGCTTGTGCCGGAGACGCCAGGTATAAATCTTTGCTGTGACAAGGATGTTTATCCTTGCTTGGGCTCTCAGGGTCACCGGGCACAAGGAGAAAGCGAACCGCAACAGATTGCAGGTGGGGGAGAAGAGGGGGGTAAAAATGCCACGATGCTGAAGAGAAGGGAGGAGGGGAAACGAGCATACACAACCAGGAGCCCCGTGGTGCAGAAATAGTGATGCAATAAATAATTTTCCAAGGCAGCTTTAGGAAAATCACGGGCACATCATGAGCATGCTGATCACCAGGAGGGAGCTGCGGAGCCTGACAAACCCTCCCCTACTCGCAGGCAAGACGGTGGCTTAATAAAAGCAGCCTGTTGTGGGGCTGGGAAGCTTAACGGCACCAGCTACCATCGTGATTAAATAGTCTTAATTAAGTGGTTTCCCCAACTGCTGTTGTGTGGGAAGATGAAGATCATCACTCGGCACAACCAGGCTGGGCACAGCCTTGCCAAGGCTCAGCCGGAGCCCCCCCGCCAGCACTGTGAGCCATAGCACGCGCTGCGGCTGAGCCCGGGTACCACCACACCCACGGGTACCCCAGCCTGGGTACCCCCACAAGGGTACCCCGACCTGGAGCTCGCTCCGACACCACCCCCCCAGACACGCAGGATGCATCCGCATTGCAAGCGGTGCTGCAGGGTGGAGGGAGCCCGGCTCAGCACAAGGCTGTGCCACCCACTCTGCCCACTGAGATGCTGCCTGCCTGCAGCCCTGCCCGCAGCCCAACACGGAGCGAAGCCCCAGGCAGCCACCACTGGGAAATCAAACACGGCCCCGGGAACCAGCCGCGAAAACCTCCTGCTCACCGACAGCCATCGGCCAGCTGAGTTATTGCTGCCACAACAGACCCTGGGCTAAAGGGAGGGGGGG